AGAGAGAGGCTCATGGCCGGCAAAAAACAGCCATAGACTGCCTGCCTGCTCGGATGGGAGGAAGCCGCATAGCGGTAAAAACAACTGCACGCCTCTCTAGGCTCTCATCTATTTGATTCTTTTCATCTTGCAGACAGAAAAAAGCCTTTGCGGCAATTCTTCATTATTGGAGAAACAGTCAACGCTAGTCAAAAACACCACTACTTTCTAACGCGGAGATCGAAAAGAAACAATCCGAGAACAGAGCTGGACTAAAAGTCTTTGATTTTCGAAATCAATACAGGAATAATTGTTGCGGATGGTTATGGATACGATTGGATACATCGTGCGGACAGCCACGCCTACTGGACGACTTGTCTGCGCTATCTACGGGCGTTGAGAGACAACTCGTCCACTGACAATGAGCAAGTTGTTCAAGGATACATAACGATACGTAAAACTGTAGACCCCATATGGGAACCCTTCCATTCCTTGCCCCAAAGTCACGGTTGATCTAATGCCAATTGGTCCAGCTCAATGAATCGTAAGACACCAGGAGAACAAGATAAGCACATTTTACATTACTGAGATCAGGAAACGAAGAAAAAAGGAAAATGTAGGATGGCATGGGTTGGTACGAAAGAAAAAGAAAGTCAAAGGATTTTCTGGAAACTTTCTTTCATAGCGGCGGAAAAAGGAGCGACAGAAAATCAGAAAGCAAAGTACCACCGCAATCTTGAACTCTGTGGAACGTCTACTCCAACTGCTTTCACCGCTCTGTCGTTGGTTTGGGAAGCCTTACCTTCATCTCAAGAAAGTGAAAAGGCCTCGAGTTTATGAGCGAGTTCTGAGACATATGATATTCCCGTGGATCGACCAATGCCATGGGGACAGTCGAGGTTTTGTCTCATAAATGCCGTCACGTCGCATATTGAACTCTCGGCCAGCCATTAAGAGTGCCACTCATAAAATTCCAATAATTACACAAACAATTTCCCTTGTCAAAAGTCAAAATCAATCTGAAAAATACTGATTGTAGCATACTCTGGAATAGGCCACGAACATTTCTTTCAATCGTAATCATAGGTGTGATTGGAAGGAGCATGCGTGGCTACATGCCTGATAACGCCATCTGTAGGCAGCTGCAACCTTCCATTTCATTTGGCAGAAATTGGAGGTCAGTAAGTCAGTAAGTAGAATGAAATGAGGAGACCATCGGATCGATACTTGGACAACAAATGAACTGCGGAGTCGATTGACAAAACCGGCTACATTTTTCACCACCCAGGCTACCCACTCAGATCATTTCAGAACCGAAAGCTGTTCCTGATCATCTGGTAGAGAGGAATACTCGGGCATCGGTACCTATTTTGGACGTAGGTGGCGTAGAACTGCGGTAGGCAACGCAACCGCACGCGTCTGGTTGGGGTGTTTCTCACTACCGAAGATCGATTGGATTCTCACTACCGAAGATCGATTGGCGATTGAATGGCGGTGGCGGCAGAAGAATAGATTTTTCGTGAACCATACGGTAAGGTATCAAGGGTGCCTGAATACACGGAAGTATGTTTTCCATTACCACATAAGCAAATCGGACCTTATGTCCCATGCTATTGAATTATTCAGAACGATTTAGTCTTACTGCTAACTAGCAATAGTTGCTAATGTCCTCTCAGAATATCTCATCTTACCATTAGCATGGCGTAGATAATCTGAAGGCTCCTGGGGCTTTCCCAAGAAGCCCGACTCTGTCATTACACTGTCAGCAGCTTTTCATGCGAATGAGCTCATCGAGACCTCCGAGAATTCGTGCGTTTCAAAGGCGCAGTCGATAATGGCATGTATCGAAGGATTTCGAGAGAAAAAAAGGCTGCCCCGAACGCTTTTTTTTTCTCGTGCACAGGAAATTCCCGCAACAGCATAGCAGCAACAGCAATGGGCGATGAAAAACCAGCAGAGCAGACTAATGGTTGATGTCCTCAGAATTGCCCCCACACAGACGTCGACGTCGATCGCCGTCGTCATACCGAGAATGAGAAAGTAAGCAAAAGGTGCTGATAAAAGGAAGGGTTTTTCTTTCGGGGGGTTTCACCCGTGAGCGAGTGTGTGTGTGCACAGTGCACCGTCCCTCAAAGTGCATGCTACTTTCACATGGCAATGGTGCATCGGCCGAGCCGTCTCGACGGCAGGGCAGTTCTCGTCAAGCTCTCATCAAATGTGTCTCAAAACGAGAGAAATCTGAATTTCAGCTTTGCAGCAGCAAGTTCCTCCTCATTCCTGGGCGGCTATTACGTATGAAGCATTTTGACAATGGACATTGACTGGGGCAATATGGGAACGAAAAACTCCCGGAGAAATTGCCCCACGAATGAGATAGGAGTTCAAAGAGAGCAACGAACTGCAACGGAGACTAACGAAATCCAAGCAAATACACCGTTCCAAAGACATCAACAAAAAGTTAGGCGATGACGTTTCATGGCGTCGTTCAAAGTGATGAGGTCTTAAGCATTTTCACGTAATGTAACCTAAAACCTTCCAGTGACGTCATAGTGCCAAGAATGAGAAGTTTAGGGGGGAAAAACCGCTTGAACCCAGTACTAAACCGCATAACATTCGATGAATGATGACCAGGGCAGTTGGGCTGAGTTAGGAGGGGGAAGGAAAATCGTAAAGGGGCTAATTCAAGGAAACCCTCGAATACGGTACCCAAAAGACCTTGAGCATGTGAAAAAAGGCGATCCAAGTTCGTTCCGGGTGCTCCTACATGGTGTCACCCATAACCAACCTGATGAACACTCGAAAAAATCGATATTGACTTCTCGCAGTCTGATCATAACCAGCGGCCCAGTGAGGACGAGTTTTCCTGGAATGAGAGACTTTCTATGACCGTATTCGCCAAGAACTTTGGTGCCCTTCCTGGGCAGATCGATAAGCATCTTTTCAATTGAAAATGAAAAGACACTGATAACTCCCCACGACAGGTTATCGTATCCAATCGAACACTGAAATAGAAGGCCCATCCGGGAGAACTTTCTGGATGGCGCAAAAAAATGTGGCTTGTGAGAATTCCACGAAGGTTTTTTCTGGGGAAAAAACTCGCTTCTATCGACTTTTCCCCCAATCAATTTCCGGGCGAAGCTATGCGAGCGTTTTTTGAGCTGCCCAGCTGAGAAAAAAAAAACCGTTGGAAATCTGCTGCCTCCAAGCCACCGAAGCAATTTGTGTGCAAGAGCCCATGTGTGTGTGTGCGTGACCGAGCGCTGCCTGCCGCCATCTCTCCCGTTGCATTCCTTGCCGTCTTCTTCGACGGCCATTTTTTCCCTCGGCCAGAGCCGATAAAAACCTCGGCTGGCTGACTGGCTGGCTGGCAGCACCGATGGAAAGAAAGAAAGGGAATCGAAGAACATGCGACAAAGTGACATTCACGTAGGGGTTGCAAAGCGATGGGGTGATGTTCGTAAAACCGACTTTTAACGAATCAAAAGGGCATCCGTCGTCAGAATATACAAATCTATGTCTACGCTAGCTTAGCCACTATAGGTATCCATTGAGGTCCCATTTATGCAGCACTTAGGCATGCATAGACGAACCTAAATAGGTTTCTTGTGGCTCAAACTACTCGGCAAACAAAAAAACTCACCAAAATTCACCCACGACGCCGTCCCTGGTGGAAGAAATGAGAGAAGGGGGGAAAGAAAGTGCAAAACGGCTGCTCTCCTAGTGAAAGTGCACTTCTGGCTGGCTCTATGCACTATAAGTGCTGGGAAGTTCATTCGCTCATTGAGTGACGGAATGACGACGATCGAGAACGTCGTCCATTGGGAGCAGTCTCTCTGAGGACGCCTACGTGCCCCTTTTGAAAATGTGCTAACCACCTCTTTGAGCATTCATTTCTTTGCTCCATCACTTTGCAGACTTAAAAGCCGATGCCTTCACTTGTGAGAAATTATCTGACGACTTCGGGGAAAATATTGAACGGGTGGAACACGATGGCCGCTAAAAATGGACAGACTCGGCTAAAAATTCTGCTGAGGGCGTTTGTACCCGGATCAACTTCCTCCCTTTCAAACTGAATTACTTGTAGCAGTCTGAAAAACGACGTGAAGTGTCGAATCAGAGCAGTTGTCCTCGTACAATGTCCCGATGTACTTCTGGAGGAAGCGACACAAGGGATTAGGGGGGAACTACGTTAGTTGGTAAAAGGTCAACCTACAAGGGCATTACTTCGTTTGGTTGAGGAAATGAGGAAATCAGAGCGAACCGAACACATGAATGCGATAGCAAGACTTAGATGGGGTTCCCATAACACTGACTGACCTCGACATATCAACTAGATGCCCATGACATATCCAACGTGCCCGAGTAAGCCAAGTGGAAACTAGATCAGATGACTGGGAAATGTCCCAGACTTCATCCAATAAGGGGAAAGGCAGTGGATGGGCCTAGCAAATACGTCAAGCGCTTTAGACCAGGATTGAGGGTCATCGCTGTCCCAATGCATTAGAGTTGGCCCAGCTAGTCATCCATATACCTACCCGAAATCATAAACCCTGGAAGATGCCAATCATAATTCGGTTGCATGGCGCAACCTGAAGAGAAAGATCAGGGCCTAGCGCCTCGATGTCTCCAAAAACATTCTTGACAATTTCTGGGGTTTTCAGAGTCTTTCTCTCCCTTTCTCTCTGTATGGTATCCCAACAGGACTCCAGGACCCCCTCCACCCGCCTTTCCGATCTCACTTAAAGTTGAGCAGCCAGTTCTGAGTAGGTCTAGATCGATAGTTCAAAGACCGTACCCATAAGCTGAGATGCACTGGAAGATTCTGGAAACTGTCGGAAGATTCTGGAAGTTTTCAAAATTCGAGAATTTAGCCCAACCACCCATTGACTTTTCACTTTCCGGAGACTTGAGCGTTCCATTTCCGTTCCTCATCCAATTCAATGAAAGCACCAGGGATTTTTTTCTCTGGCGATGAGGCGGTTTCGTTCGACGAAATGATTCGGAGACGAAAGAAAAAGTGCTCAGCTAACAGCTTGCCACGGGACGTCGCTGTCGAACGGCAAAATGAGACATTGGGAAATTACAAAGGTTGCTGCTTTAGTGGGTGGAGCTTGAGGTCCTGAAGCAGTACCCAAATGGCGTACTGTATTTTGAAGTACAAGTGTCGGAATACTGTAACAAAACTAACTGTTAAGTAACAAGGAAAGGATGTAAGATCGTATGCTCCCTACTTTCTCTCACGCCAATTTTCTAATTTCCACCTCCTTACTCACTATCATAAAACATGCCGTAAGCCCAAAACCACCTGTAGGGACCAGAAAACATGTGTACCTGAAGCCCGAGGGAAGCTCCCAAACCTACAGACTTCGCGCTAATCGCACTTCTTCAAATACCAGAAAATTCCAAGCGGAAATATCATCTTTCTCAGGGCAAAAAAAAGTAGCTTTAGTCTAAGCAAATAATCGTAAGGGTTGCTGGGAAAACTCCCGGGGAGTATGTAAACAAAAAAGGTTGAGTAATGAAATAGATATATACGAAAGAACAATGACTCGTGGATGTTGGATATAGAGATATAGCGAAAGGCCTAGAGCGGGGCCTAGATAGGCCTAAACAGGCATAAGTGGGCTCATCGGCAAGGGCCTCTGCTCAATCTAGGCTATTTTACTTCTGAAAATTGAAAATCGAGACGGAATAAAGATAATGGAATATGAAGTAAGCTTAGAGCAATAGTTGGAGAATAAGCCATGCATGTCTGCTTCGTATAAAATCGTTGCAACGATTGAACGACGTTACAGTAACCTTCGCCAAGGTCGCGAGGGTTTTCATTTCTAAAAGCGATTTTTTTTCATTCTACTTTTTATACAAATTCCAGATCTAGCAAAAACACCCTTTTTCGAGTAGTTATCAGCAATGGTCTTCTTTCTTCAAGCTACCTTCCATTTCACATAGTCTTATCAGTAAATGATTGTAAAAAATTGAAGATTATAATTCGAATGAAATCGATTTTCATCTCAAAGTGCATACGTTAACGATAAGGGTCGGAATTGAGCAAATAGTAGCAATAGGCTCTGGCCGACTCGGGCAATAAGACAATATATGACTATGGAACGCCCTTCAGCCACCTTTCCTACCCAGAGAATCAATTTCTCTCAACTTTTCAAATTCCAGCTTGCTGATGAAAGTGGCCCAAAGATTCCCCGAAAAGCGGCTCATCCTTAGAGCGGTATGAGCTCGAAAACTGACTTCAACGCCCACTGCTACTCATTGCCAATAATTTCATGAATGGACGAGTTGCACCGCCTTAGAGAGGCTGACATCACTCAAAGAGGAGCACGTTTGTTGTTTATGTAATCGGCCGACATGGGCCAGTAGGATTGGGACTTGCGGTTCCTAGAGAGTTTCTCGCTGTCGTGGTCACCGATGGCCTGTTCCGCACCATCACTTTCGTCCTGTGACCCTGGGAAAGTACATCAGGTTACCACGGACTGTCCCATTAAGACAGAACGAGAAAAACCGTTCCGTGTTTCAAATTACTTATCTTGAATTCAATAGATGTGGAGAACGTTCTGTACGGGATGGGAGAGGAGGTGCCTTAAAGTCCTCTTTGTTCAGGCATTACGAAGGAGTGTGGAACCTTGAAGCAACTTCCACAGGGGAAATCGAGATGGACAGGAAACCCACCTCCTGAACGGTCACTAAGCCCAAGAACAGCTTCTAAAAAGGGTCAACTCGTGGCCCCTTTCCTTCGTTCACCCCGAACTTCCTTCGAAGTACTAATTCCTTCACCTATTTCACTAAAAATTGAAAGCCAATCACCACCGATCGCTCATGGCTCGAACGCTCGTTTATACTTTTACAGCATCAGCTTCTTGGTCCTTCGAACTGACTGCATACTCGCACTCATACTACCCCAGTCATTATGAGGTTCATTTCAAAATGAGCCTTATCCTCGGCACTATTCCAGCCAGCATTCATTCCTCACATGCGCACTCCCGGGAACGGTTTGAAAAATGAACTCAGCCAGCTTCCTCTATTCATGGCGCTCTCAAACTGCTCATTCTGTGAAATAAGTGTGAAAAATGAATACCAATTAGGTCCGCTTAAAATCAATCATCACATTAAAGTTTATGGCCAGGGACAAAGTGAGATAAAGGAGTCTCAGGCAGGGCTGCATTTAATTGGCTGAAATTTCCGTTAAGCCAGGTGCACCATCAAAGAAATTCGTTCAAACAAATCATCAAATTGATGCGGTTACCCAACAACAACCAATAAATTAAAAATTCCTGCGAAGGCATTCGCCTCGACCGCCTCTCTGCATCAACTCCGCCCCCTTTGGACGAGTCACACATGTTAACACGTTCACACCGGTGACTTCTGTGATTACGATACGGTATACGATTGAAAATATATAAAATATTGGAAAGACAACGTCTAATTTTTGTTCGCCAGTTGCTCCTCAAACCGGTCGTTCGGGTATCTTCTGAAACCATAGGAGGGAAGTTCAGGAAGGTAAACCTACCCGCTGGCAACGCTTCCGATGGTGTCGAGGGATGGGGCGAATAGTCCGTGTCGAGCGATTTCCAGCTGTGTACTGTAGGGTGTCGAACCGCCAAAGGAAGCCGATCGAGCTTTCTGATGCTTTTCCAAGTCAAAGAAATCATCCGTCTCATCACCTTTAAATAATGCTGATTTACAGTAGATAGAAAAACATGTTTTCTAAGAATTGCGGATAAATAATGAAGAAAAACATGTTTACGTAAACAAATAGCTAAGTAGGACTAACCGTCAGGAGTCTCCATTTTCAGGTCGAGATCGCTACGACGTGGCGGACATTCAGATGGTAGCGAATTCAACGACGTCGAGACGGAAAACAAAGAATCCGTCGATGGCGAGGTGGTGTTCAACGACGGATAGTTCATGTGGGCCGTCTGATTCGGCATCAACGACTGTGATGAGCCATAGTAACACGCAGCCGCCATTGTGGGTGATTGAAGTGATTGATGAAAAGCTCCTGTCAACGGTGGTCCAAACGTCGACAATGGCGTCAACGTGGCTGCCTGTGTAAGGCATTGCGTCTGCGAGAGCTGATTTGCCATCGCACCCTGCAAGATAGGGAATGAGCTATGGATGAACCCCTCTTCTGCAGCCGATATTTTGACTATACTCGAACTGCAAATCGATAAGCTGATCAGATGCTGATGAAGATAAGTTGAAGTTAATTTTGGTTTTGCGAGCTCATGGATTGGCTGCTTCCATAGTCCGCGATTTGGCTCGCGAGCGAGCGACTTGTTTACGACTGACTCTTGGTCGATACCGCCGGACGAGTAGTCCTCCGTCGCTCGCGCGCTCGCGGGTTAAATCGCGGACTATGAAAGCGGCCGTTGGTATATCCGACTATTTCAGAAGGTCCTGATAACACTACGATTGCGACAACAATCTGGAACAATTCTGTCGCACGCGACAGGGACGTGAAACTATTTTGCCGCACGCGTCGTCGATAGGGAACAACTTTGTCGCATTATACAATGGCTTTAATAATGGGAAGAAGAACAATTTTCGAGGCAACCTGGTGTCATAACACTTGATTGACAGGCTTTAAGATGCGCCACGTGTTCAAGTCCAATTCAAGACCAAAACGGCATTCGATTAAGTATTTGGCCTTCAAGCCGACTTGTAAAAAATACAAAAAGTAGACGTATAAAATAATGAAAAAGAAAAATTAAATCAATCAACCCTGTGTTGAGATGCCAAAACGAACAGCGGACCCCAAAAGGGCCATGTTTCGGGCACCTCTGGGAGCCAAGTGCCGGCTGTCCTACAAACCATCCCAACACGTGGAGAAGAGCACTTACAACGGCCTCAAAGTCATGAATGTTCCTAGGAACGAAGGGGTAGTTATTACGCAGATTGGCAGCAGCGGAGTGGATTCACCGCCCGATATGCTCAACAGCATGAGAGAAACTAAGTCGAATTACGTTTTGGGATGTACCCCGCATGAGAATTCCATTCAGAATCGCGGTGGCGTATGGAATGTGTATATGGCCTATACAATGACTAACAGTGGCCAGGCGATGTTCAAGTCGGTACTTTTATGCCAGCAGGAAGTTCCAAGAATGTTGTAAGAAGTGGGGGAGGATTTGGTTGAAAGCCTGCCAGCGGACTGCATCTGTATAAGTATGAACGAATTCCTCATTCCTTTTGAGAACCCAAAGTCAATACAAAAAGCGCCCTGGAGCGATATCTCGAAAGAATTTTCGCTTCCTAAGGACCCCTCAACAAGGTCAAGAATGAGTCGTAGAACTGGCAACAGATGGAGTTGGACTACCTCATGTATAGGTAAGGTGGAGAGAAGGGAACAACTTCTGAAGGACTGAAATGAATCGTTCAAAATAACGATTCAAAGTTGAATTTATCTTTAAAAAAATTATGTTTCAGCCGTCACATTTATTGACGTTTCAGCTTCGTTCCCGCATACCATTCGTTGTTTTTGTTGCAACATTTTCGGGCCTGGATATGCTACTAAGCGGGGAGGAAAACAGTGAGGGTGAGAAAAAAAACGAATAAGGACAGGGAAGCGCGTTCCGTTTGACCTTGTACTTCAAGCAGGTAACGGTCACAAAATGGTTTAGCTTTGACCAAAAGGTCCGGGAACCAAAGTAATTTATGGTTCTTACCCCCATAAGCAATAGAAGAAAGAAAAAAAATGAGTACTAAAAAAAAAGTAAAAAGGCGATTTAATTCCTGGAAGTCACGGACAAACCAACTAGAAGATTAGCAAGCGGTCCATGAGCGTATGACGGAAGAGGAACCTAGGAGATGTCGCGAAAGATCCCCCACGTGACTGAAGGTCTTATGTGGAAATACCGTTTGCAAAAGAACAGACAATGGTCAATCAGCTGATCTAACATCTCGAAATAATCAACAATCCTCGGTGATCACATGGTATCCCCCTCTACGACTCTACCTTATCGAGAGTTCAGAGAAGAGCGATCTATATGGGACGTGCATTGGATGCCGTAAGTGAGAGGAGTGAGGATCAACCCAAAAATTCGGTTCCAATGGAAGCGAAATTTCAAACACCTTTTCCCATAGCTGTGGGTCGGATGAGTGGCGCTGGAGCAGAATATTTTTATAGGTAACTTGTTGATCGGCTCGTAATCCCGGCAAGGCCAGTGTCTAACACCAGATGATCTTGGATAGAAAACATTAGGTAAACGAGCATCCGTCGCATTATAAATAAGTAATCAGTAAATAATACAACAAGGGTAACAAATAGTAAATAGTAAATGATACGGGTAAAAAAAGGATGCTTCATTCATAAGCATTGGGTGGGCGTGCTAAGATTAGGGATAAAGGTCTGAAGCCATTGACCTCACCCCAGAGACAGACGAGTTCCAACTCTCGGACCTTCTTAACAAAGGTCTTGCTGCTCCTGCTACCCTTCAATATAGTATGGTAGCTCAAATTGGAGCCAATAGAAAAAGTAGCGGCGAGAGGACGGGAGGAGCTTAAAAGTCCAGGACGCCATCAAGCGGCTGATCGTTTATTTGAGTTTGCTTACAAATCAACTGGGAGATCCTTTGTACTGCCTTCATAACTGACGAGCGATTCGTTGGAATAGGCTTCTGCAGGAAACCACTGAAAATGTGAAACGAAAGGATGGGAGTAAGGTGTCTGGGTTCAAGGCGATGAAAACCTTCTCAGAAAGTGCGCAGATTAAGTGCACAGTTGACAGCAACGCCCTTCCGCGGCAGCACCGCCCCTTCAGGGCAGGATCCGACAAGATGGCAGTGAAGGTGGTGGCCATTTAAACAGAACGGAATATACCGGAATGGAATTTTAATAATGCAATACATGAACTTTCGATATTCGCCCCCCCCCCCCCCCCCCCCCCCCCCCCCCCCCCCC